GCTGGACAGACCAATAACGGCAACTCTGCAAATGCGTCTGCGGACAAGACGAACAGTGGCTCTCTCGTCGATGCAAACGCTGGACAGACCAATAATGGCAACTCTGCAAATGCGTCTGCGGACAAGACGAATGGTGGCTCTCTTGTCGATGCAAACGCTGGACAGACCAATAACGGCAACTCCGCAAGTGCGTCTGCGGACAAGACGAATGGCGGCTCTCTCGTCGATGCAAACGCTGATTCCTCCCGCAACGGCGACTCCGCCAATGCGTCTGCGGACAAGACGAATGATGGCTCTGTCGTCGATGCAAGCGCTGATTCGGCCCGCAACGGCAATTCCGCAAGTGCGTCTGCGGACAACACGAACGATAGCTCTCTCGTCGGTGCGTCCGCAGCCGCGGCGAACGCAGGCAACAAAGGCCCGTCATCTACAGGCGGAGTCAGTCTCGTGTCGAGCCCTGACGCGGACGATGCAACAGATGGTCGTGCTGCTTCGAATCGACATCAGTTCTGCCTCGGGTCGGTCTGCCTGTCGCTGAGTTTGGGCGATAAACTAACGGGCACGGGTGCGACCGCAACGGTGCCCGAGCTCACAGGCACGTCAAGCCGGTGTAGGAGCTTGGGTCAGATCAATGTATGCTTGAACGTCGGATCATAGGTTTCGAGCTGTGCGAAATGTCTCTCCAATGTAGTGTCTTTGATCAGAGCACAATACAGATTGTACTATTTTCCTAAGTGCGTTCCCAGTCCTCGTCGTCACGATGGATATCATTTTACGTCTCGAGTGGTCGATTCTTGACAGAATGCATGCCCGAACATCCTCCTGATCAACGGATGTGCACCGGCACACGAACGGTGAACGAATATCTGATTTTAGAAAGGGGCTATCTAGATACAAGGTGATTGAGTTTGAGGGTTGCATGCATGATCAATTTGCTATTGAACATGTCAGGATGTGCATCTTGGCAGGGAATTCCGTCATTGAGCGGCAGGGGTCCTCGAGCCCGCGGCATTTCCTGGGCAGCATTCATTTGAACGCCGTTAACTGACCCTACAACGTGCCGCGTTTGCTCGTTTGAAAGTGCATGGAAGCCGGTCGTTGCAGAGGTAACCGCGACGAGGACGGAACGATGTTGCCCGCGTGACTATCTGCAAGATCAATGTACAGTATGGATATCACCACTTACGCAAAGATACGATCAGCGCATCATCAGTGTGGTCGGAGTGCGGTCGGCGTCTAAGTACTGAGTGCCGCGTACTGACTAGTTTCTCCGCCGATTCTCAAATATGTTCATCCGAATACCTGACCCTCCATTCCACGTCCTGGTGCCCGTTAAGCTTCTGTATTCGGGGCTAGAGCAGAGCAGGCCTCGTCGAGAACATCGGGGAGTTCTGATCGCCGAGAAGCAGAACATAAACCAGAGCTTCCTCATGTGGTCCTTGAGTCAATGCTGTCAGCGATGCTGCCGAAGGCCGTGGTACGGGCAGGTCGGCTCACGGCAGAGGCCGCTGGCATGCACGACGTACAGAACCTAGTTAGAGCTGTGATGTATTGATGCATCAAACTATGCCTTGTACTTTACTGTGATCGCTGCCCGCGGCGCCTGGCAAGTTCCGATAGCGCGTGTCTTCGCCGGCGGAGCGGAGGATCGCACCGATCGTGGGGTTAGCGACAACGCGACATCCGTGCACTCAATAAGTCGGGAAGTCAGACCGCTCAACATGAACACCACGGTGGCATGATTTGATATCAATGTGTCCTGATCGACGTGTACGTGCTTCCATTTGCCGCGATGTACTCGTGATATATCAAATCGGGCTTGCTTCCATACGAGGGAGCGTCTTGCGGTCGCCGAAGCGGCCGTGCCATTCCGCAATTTACTACCCCGAGGACCCTGACGGGCTTTCATCGTCAGCGTGAATTCCGAGCTCGATTCACCACGAGGCTGTTGATGTATGCACCTTCAGTGCATCCGTGTGGTCATAGTAATGAGTATCTCTTGCGGAACTTCATTGCAAAGGCCAACACAGCACGTCGCATCGATACCCGAGTCGGCGGTTGAATGAAATGCATTAAACCGCGATTGTCAACGATTAATCATCGATTACTACTAGAGCCGATGTCATACGAGCCGTCACGTAACCGCCTCGAGATCGTTCAACAGCTCACCTCGCGATGTTACGTTAGCTACGGTCCGTCGGCCTTCACTGTGCAGAGCGCAAGTGCCAGGACGACGTTGCATATTGGTTTCAGGCTTTCAGCGACTCCTTACTAGGTGCGGCCTACCAAGGCGCTTACTATTTCACAGTTTGAGGCAAGCGCCCACGTTTTGCTTCCGCGAAAGTTTTGATCGTCGCGGTCTTGCTGCGCATTTGAAACTCGTAAGTCACCCCTTCATTCAAATATCACTGACTCGCAAACGGATTGAAGCTATGAAACGTCACTAACTGTGTGTACGAGCTATCGCAGGTTTACAGTCGCGCGAGACTACCATTTCGTCGGGCGCCGGCTACGTTGCAAGACGAGATAAGGGTGACCATAGTAAACGCTCATCATTGCCTTCTGCCTTCGATTCGCAGCTGTCGAGCAATGTTCTTGTTTCAAATGCTTTGCTGCTGAGTACATGTGGCCACGTGTCTTGACCTTCTCCGCCGCCAACCACTGATCAGTTTCAAAAATGAGTGGCCATGGGTAGTAAAAATTGTGCCATCGCGCGCACACTGCGTGGTAGCGATGATGGAGCATGAAAGATTCATCAGGCCGCCTCATACGTATGAGTCGGGTCCTCGCTTTTCACCGGCTAGATGCGGCTGTCATCGTAGCCTGAGCTTCAGTTCCACAAATCTATGATGACGAAGGCGTTATTCACGACTCTTACTCAACGATCACCATCCGGATCGCGGCCATAGTGCACATCGCGGCCGTAGACCACACCGGAATGCTGTGCACTGTCACAGCGCGGCACCTGCTTGTTCACTGAGGTATGCTAATGGTCCAAACTCAGATGGTGTGCGGTGCTCAGTGGTAAAGAAACCATAGATAGGAGGTGGAATTAGTAGGGTAGATTGGCAAGATCAACCTTGCCGATGCTGATGGCCGCACGTCGACTAGCAGCCGCGCAGGTCCTTCCATGCGCCTATGGACGAGAATGGAAGAATTCCATGCTGTACATGTGCGCTCTGTATCTCTGGCCCATATTTTGACTGCAATGGTTTTTACAGCCGCATCTGCGGTATGTTCTCTGCAGAGAACGTATGGAAAGAAGATCAGCTCATTATTGAAGACATTGTGTTGTCTGATGAAACACACCATGCTGCTCGAAGAATACAACGAGGAACTGCTCTTCTCTTTAGGGTACGCATCGATCACTACCATCTTTGAATGCACAAAAGTGTTTATGACCGGTTTTCGGAACATCAGGCTGGTTTCCGTTCCTTCCCCGTCCACTCTTCCAGATCTGCTGGCCGTTCCTTCGGAGAGGATGCTCGAGGACATTACCAGTCTCATGGAAATACGAAGTATTTCCACCAGACTTATGGCCGTGTCTGGATCCGGCAGTAAGCCTTGCTTGCGCGCCACCTGAAAGCCACCCTCGATAAGTCGGAGTCCACGAAGGGCACCGCTTCATCTGATAACGCCTAAGCGAGACAACAGAGTAAACCACAGCCGCCAAGTTATAGGGGAGGCTGTGGACTATCTGCTTCTCGGATCGGTCGTGATTATCCACCGATGGCCCGATTCCTCCAGGCGTGACGTCGTCGTTCGACATCGCTGTGCTCTAATTGGTCTTGGCTCCTTTATAGAACGCTAAACAGGCGATATAGGCAGATCAAATGCAACAGAAGCGCACAAAGAAATGAATACGACATAGCTAGCGCGTGGCTTTGCAAGCTCCGTCCGTAATGAATTGAATGGTGCCGCTCATGATGAAGATGTGAGTAGTTTGATTGGACTCTGCGCTGTACTGACTGACGCTGTAAGGAACTAAAGCCGTGGTGCTGCAAAGAGCGAACTATCTAGAACATGAAAGGCACCGCGTACGCTCGGACTCCAAGGCTGGACGGCCGCAGGCCACGAAACGCGAGCGCTGCGACAGGCTCCCAAGTCGCACGTGGCAAATAAGTGTGCTGCTTTCCTCCGTGAGCGTTTGATCGTTTCCGATCTTTCGAAAGAATAATAATGATCAGCGTGCGAATGTATGGCCCTGTGTCGCCTGGCTAGTAGCTACAGCTTGAGCACCATCTGTTGAGTTTCCCAGCCAGCCCGCTGCGCGGCCAGGAGTTCGGGAGTCGCCCGCTCTCTAGAAGATGGCTCCACGGGGCCAAACCGATGGCCCGTCCCATTGTAGCCGCGCCCTATTATATACACGCGCGCTACTATTCTCCCACGCCGGTGGCGCAGGTCGCACTGGGGTCTCTCACATCTGTGCTCCGCGCCCAGATTCCAACACCATCCACAACACTGACTGGGACGTTGGTAGCTATCTCCGCCTGTGCCCACAGTGGTTTTGTTGCTTGAGACACTGGCTGACGCGTTGTGAGTAACAGACGCGGGCACATGGTAAGCTGACTCGATAACCGGAGTAACCAACCGGCGGTGCGAATGGCAGCCAAGATAGCTCCTTGTGCGCGCCTGCCAGGGCTCTCTACATCCGTGAATCGCGTCCCATTGCTGGAACCATTCACTGCTTTGTGGCGCAACTAGGGGATGTGCGATAGACTCAGT